TTCGTGGTACCAGCAGCAAATACTTTGTTGCGTACAATGAACTCTTATATGCACATTCTAACTGTTACATTCGATTCACACTAGTCAAAAGTATAGTGAATAACGTGTCACGATTCGAAAGAATCGGAAAAAGTGAAGATGAGAGGTTCGATTCCTTAGTTTCTCCTCGCCATTTTAGGGAAGGAAAGGTTTGAAAGGGAGCTCCATTCGCGACACTAACTGTTATAAGCATCAGATGAAAGCAGAATGATGCCGTATGGGGACAAGTACGGTACTTTTGAAAAGTTGAGAAAAGCAATATCGTGTAAAAACCTTGAAAAGCAGTGCTTTGTTAGAATACTTTATCCTTCATTAATTAATGGCTGTTAAAACTGTCTCGGCAGAAGGATTCTTTTTTCACCCCGTCTAGCTATAATTAAACAGCGATAACGTATCATTATATCGTGACTGTAACTATTATCATGATACCGTTGATAGCATCATTATCATCATAAACACAAAGCTAAATCGTTCCAGGTATGAGCATGAAGAAGTTCGATACGGTGATTACATCGTGTGCAATCACAAAATTGATGGCACCATTGATCCGTTGTTCAATGTCACTCATTTATCGATACGGCGTGCGGATTGTGACGATGGGTACGAGCATAAATTCGAGCACTGGCAATATGATTGGAAGGATTTTGGTGATTTCCACTGGCCGCTGCGAATTTTGCGCAGGTCGGTAAGATGCGGGAAATTTTTCGAGCTTCAGACGGCAGAAGAATCCTCGGCTGACCATTGCAGCTTAGTCGGCTACTTAGTATCCTTAGAGCCTATTTGAGTCGATTTGTCCTTTGGGCTAATTCCGAATGCTGCAAAGCCTTCGAGTTTCGAAATTTTGAAGCTGAAAAAATGTCAAGGTACCGAAACAACGATGGTTGGAACTCGATAAAAATCCTTAATTTATAGAGATTCAAAAATTATAGAGCAACTCCTGTGTATTTTTACTTAAAATACAAAATAATTCGAAATAAAATACAACCGATTGATAAAGAAGATTAGGGTTTTTTTTTTATTAATTTATGAATACGATTAGTACTGCATGCATTAAAGTTCGTTCTCAGATTTTGAGATTTTTAGAATTTCAAAAGCTTTCGGGACCGCTGATGCGGATTTTCTAGAAATGTCTTAGAACCGCTTATGACTTCTAATTTAGCACAAGCGGCACTTACAAAAATATTGCAAAAATTCAACCTGGGTTCCGAATTTTCAGTGGTCCGTGAATGAAACGTAAGACGTCGTAAAAGTGATGCCTTAAAAATTAAAGTATATGAAACCAGGATTTTTAATGTGTTGTGGATTTTAGGGCACGCATG